ATGGCTTCAGCATCGCTTCAATGTCGCGACATTAAAAAGTTAGGCGGTTATCGCTTCGCTTCATTGTGGCCTCATTATGGCGACAATGTGGCATCAGCATCGCTTCATCAAACAAAGAAGTACAGAACTCATTTCGTCCAACCTCTCGCCCGCTTCCGCTTTTCAATCGCTCGCTTTTGCGACCGCTTGTTGAATTTCCGCTTTATTTTCGACTGTGCAAAAATCGGACTACTAACAATTTTCTGGTTTTCATATATCACGGTTACTAGTTTAGTACTAGTTTAGTAACCGTGCATAGATGTTAAACAACCGTCAAAAGTTCAAATACTTTTTGTTTTAACTAACTATATATCTCTATAATTATATATGCACGCAATCTGACCCTTTGACCTAGATTTGGCTGGGATTGACTATTTCATTTTAAACAATATTTTGACGTGACGCACTGCTACAAAATGTATTTCAACAGAAGTACGACATGGTTGTCCGGGTTTCTTTTCCTGACTGTGTTGAGTTTACGATTTGTATAATTATTGTTATTTCCCCCAAGGAGAACACAAGCCGAAGGACCATGAAGCTAAATAGAAGTCCCACGCATGGACTGAGTGAAAGAAAATATTTCTAAGGCTAAAATAAAACCTAATATCTCTTTGTGTATTTGTCAATTTTGCATATATTTGTTGTGACAGTATGTTCGTAAATATCTGGAAAAATCTCGTCTTTCGTTAATAATTTCATTTGTTTGAAATGTCTACCGACCGCATCGTCCGCCTGCACGGTGTTGTTCTGTTCGGACATTCCTCCCTCTACAACACCGTGCGGTAATTCTATTCATAACCGTGTATGTCACGTGGTTGCGCGATAGAAAGTTTACCGACCAATAGAAAGCTTTGTTACAATGACTGCCAGAAAGCGCCTCGACATCTAAGCCAACACAGCTACCACTGTGTGCAGCGACATTTATTCTCGGGTTAGGCATTTTCACCGCCTGGCAACCATCATGGTGAAAACAAAGGGTGTGCTTAAACCGAAGAACGAATAAAATATATGTTATGATTAAACAGTATGAACGATGAGTGCATGTAAATGTATTAAACTGTTATGATTAAACAGTATGAATATTCTGTCTTCGTTCTTTGTTTTTCGTTCTTTGGTTTAAACACACCCGACAACAAATTTTCAGAAAACGGTATTTTGGGATGGTTGTTGACACCCCCCGGAACAGTGTAACAAGATTATCCCTACATATGCAACATATTTAAATTTGATTGTTTAGGATGTCTTCAAAGTTTGTGCTGTTTTCTCGATTTTAGCTATTTTCACCGGCTTTTCGACCGGTGTTTCACAGCAGCTCACCTGGCAGCTCGCGCAGAGCCCATATAAATACAAGGTAGAGTGGTGCGCATCTTAAATAGCAACGTTGAGCGTCTCGTGAATTAGTTCCGTCCCGAAGATTATGATAGCTTGGCCAAGCGCGTTGAAGAAAGAAGCAATATGATTGGGCTGTGGTAAACTGATTCTAAACTG